CACCTGTTCTTGTAGTTTTATCAGAACACAATCATGTCCATTTGAGTACATATTGTCTATGATGGCTTTTGAACAACAGCAGCAGAGATGAATAGTTACTACAGAGTCTATATGGGCAGCAAAGCCTAAAACATTTAATAACTGGCTCTTTACAAAAAAAAAAAAAGGTCTGCCAACCTTTGGCCTAGAGTACAGTATAATCACCCTTGATTTAACAAAAATTAATATTTTTACCACTTCCTGGACATTGCATGACCCTTATATATGCCAGAAACTATGCCAACCTCTAAGGATAAGAAAAAAAAACTGACTTAATCCCATGTCCTATTGAGTTTATAGGCTAATAGGGAAAATATCACTTGGGTTTTTCATAAAGGGAAGTACAAGTTATGGAAGCAAACAGCCAATGAGAACTTGGTACAAATGAATTCAAGGAAACCAAAAAGAGTGTTCCAATAACCACTGCCATCTATCTAGCCAGACTCTAATATCCTATTGACTATACTCTCCTGGGCAAAAATATATCTTTTTAAGTTTCTCAGGCAGAAAAGGATCATTTATCCATATATTGAAGGACAAATCCTACATACAGTGACTTTGAGCTCAGCCCCTGTTCCCTCTTTATTTCTGCAGTCTTATAATCTCTTACTATCCATTACCCATGAGTAGCACTTTACTAATTCAGACTTTCTAGAGCAGCAAAAAAAATGACTTTAAGTTAAAGTCCAAGTTAACTGCTGATGAAAGCAGAGCAGTAATAAGCATTATACTAATTTTAATCCTACAAGTTTTCCTCTACCCTCTTACCTCTCAAAGAGCCAAGACTTACTAAGTAATGACTCTGAAACTTAATAATTAAGTTGTCCTCCACAAGAACAAAGGACAACATACGGCTTTGAAATAAGACAAGTTTGAATCCCAACTCCTATACTTACCAGTTGTTACTTAACCACCTTGAACCTTAAGATCCTACTTTTAAAATGGGGTTTATTATAGAGTGCTAAAAATTATGTGTCTATCATAAAATGGGCTGTTAGTAAATGTCAGTTTCCTTCCATAAACCAAGATAATGGCTTCAGGATTCTGTGCCACATAAATTTATAAGCCAACCATCCAGCTTTTTTCAAAATCCTGAACCTTCTTTCTATCTTCTTTAAGCTATCACTCTTTCTAGCAGCAGAATGTTTATAGCCAGGCTCTGGTTTCTGCCTATGAAACTGGTTGTTGGGTTTGACAAGATTTCCCATTTTCTACCATTTATCTTCATCTGGCAAATGAAATGAAGCCAAAGAGCCATTAAGATGCCAATCTTATCAACAAATTCCCTTCACTCTTTTTACATACCCAAAATGTTTACTTAATTACTGTCAGTGAGCAGAAATATCTGTCTAGTCTCAAATCCCATTCACTTCATCAAGTGTCATTTGGGAAGAATACTATAAATAAGAAAAATTTTGGAATCCAATATTTCAGTCAATTGCTGTATCTTGAAGGCAGAATTACCTGTTATAATTGAATGTTCTAATGCCCTAATTCAAAGTAATGTTTGTCCAGCTATTATTGCAAAGTGCCTGTGAAATTTTAGAAGTTCCTAAAGTTCTAAGCATTTCAGCAGTACGGACACTCATTTCTGGCAATTGAGACAGAGAGAACACAGACAGAAAACGATGATCTGCTTTTATACTTACAAGTCAGAATCTCATGTACAGAACTTCAGTGTTGCCTTCTTTAGATTTTTTACATTAGTAAATAAGTTCTCAAATGGTACAAAAAAGACACAAACAAGTACAAAAAAAGGATGTACACATATACTGGAAATTTATTCTGAACATTGTCTTTTAAGTGTCACAGAACCATCTTATAAGTAAGATGGGTCTCACCAATAAAGAAAAAAAAATCACTATTTCTTTAGTAATTAAATTCTCTTGGTCCAGGTGCATAGCCACATTACAATAAATACTGCTTTTAGGCAAATGCTGTCACAGTAAGGTTTTAAGACATCTCAGTAAAATCCTTTAGGTGCCTAAAAGTTATTAGTGGGTGGCAGTTCAATTTATAAATCCCATGATATATTTCAAATTACAATAAGATACCATCAAATATTGCAAGAAAAATACTACTTTGCCTTCTGTTAATCAAAGTCTAGACATATAGTATATGCCTTCAATTAAATTTCATTTTATTTTTACTAGATTCATATAAAATTCTCCCAATTATAAAGTTCTATTAGTTTCTTCACTAAGGCTGAAAAACTTTGAATATTAAAAGTATCACTTTATTCCCCAACTTTCTCTGGCTCAATTCCCAAGAATATATTTACTTTTTACGTATATGTTTTTCTTCCTAGGTGTTAAGAATATCTTATAAACATATTTTATTATTTTCATAAGCTCACTATTGAATTCTTTTAAAAAAAAGCATCATTTTTATAGAAATAACTGAGTATGCTATTGAAAGAGGCAATTTAGCATAGCAGTTAAAGTGCAGTCTCTGAAATTCTATAGCTCTATATTGTAACCCAGGCTCTGCCATTTAATAGCTGTATAACTTAGGTAAATCACTAATCTTTCTATCTCAGCTTCCTATATTTGTTAAACTGGCATAATAATAGTACCATCATCATAAAGTTGTAAAGCTGAAATAAAATAATCCATGTAGAAAGAATAGCAGAGTGCCAGACACATACAGTTCCATAAATATTACTTGCTGTTAATATCATTTTTTCCATTGAAGGCAGTATATCTATGTTTTGCATTTCATTATAACAGGAGACAAGAATTTCATAAAATTTCATATTCAGAAATAAAATAACATAAAAGCTAAAGTGGATTGAGGTATCACTACAGTATGATATTAAATTACTAACTCGATTCTAAAATCTAAAATACATAGCACCCCAAAACTCACTCACAGTGAGGCTGCTAACCTAATTTGGAGTCTACTGAGAAACAGAAAGGCTACTTACTGTTCACTGCAACCCACTCGTTTAGATCTTCTCCCTCAGGAAGCATGACAGCCATCCGGAGGTTGCCACTGCCAAGTGTGGCTTCTGCATGCTTTAAGAGCTCATATTGGTGAGAACCTTCTGGAATGTTCTTCTTTGGTTTAAATGTTTTAGAGGAGCGACTACCACTGAATAGACAGAAAAAAAAAGGCACTTCAATATATAAGGCACGACTATGAACAGAAACTACTACAGTCTATTACTAGATAAAATAATGTAGCAGTGACTTTAAATGTCTACAAATAAACAGCCCTAAATTGTACTGGCTGCATTAAATCTCAGCAATATAACTGCTGTAACTACTGTGTTTGATACCCAAAACTCCTACAGACCTCCATATTTCCTACTGCAACTTCCCAGAATAAAAAGAATTTTTAATTGTAACTATCCAGCTCTTCACAATAAATTAACAATTCAAGATTATAGGTTGTAATCTTGAAAAACGAAAAACTACTCCTATGACAATCTTTAGTTATTTTACTCCTTTTCGCCCTATTCTAAGTCCCTCATCCTAATATACTTTATTTCCTTTGTATAAAAAGTATAAAGGTACAATTTTACATCAATAAAACACAAAATCCTAGAGCAAGAAAGGCTACATGTTCTTCTACACAATTAGGAAGCATCAGCAATCTTAATCCAGAATTCCAGATACGCAGATAAGTAGCTAGACATTAATATGGTTGGTCTGTTCAAATTTCATATATATTTTTTAAGTAGACCAAATGAAACTAGTCTTAGAAATGATTTTAAGAGTTTTTAAGAGACGGATTCTTCTCTTGATGCTAGCAAGATCTTATCAAACTGTATTATATCCCAGTCACCCCTTCTCAATACTTCCTTTCTTCTGTTCATATGAAAAGGAAAAGGAAAAAATGAATTAGAGTTTAATGTTACTAAACACATACCACTGAAATATGCAGACATTTAAACATATGAATACGAAAGTGGAATTCCAAAAAAGACAGATAATCAACAGTTATACTTTCCAAGCTCTCTATAACTTTCACCTATTCTCCCAAACTTACTCCCAGGATCTCTCCCTTGTTCACCAAGATAAAGTGGTAGTTCTCAACCATGGCTGCATATTATATTCACCTGGGGAGCTTTCAGAATATACTGAGGATTTATGATAAACTAAGAATCTTACAGTCAACCCAAATACCCAATTCAAATAACAGGTATTTTTTACTCTAAGGTAATAGCATTCTCATTTAAATTTAAATCTCTATTCAGGTGTTATACTTAAGAGTAAATTAATGCTCCTCAACTCTAACATTGCTCCTTTCCCTCACAGATATCTCTACTCAACAGCCAAGGTATCTCCTTAAAAACACTAATTAGATAATGTTGTTCTGTTTAACACCACTCAGTGGTTTTCCAGTGTACTCAGAGTAAATCCAAAAGTCAAATACTAGATACAGTCAGTTTCTGGACCCACACTAGAGTGTTGAAACTCTTCTTCACTTTAATCAGATAATGCATTAAACACCAAATTCTCTCCCAGCATCTCTAAAATATAAAAACACAGAAAAGATCATTGTAACTACTGAGCATGAGGTTTATTTTATTTTCTACTTCTCATCCTTAGTTTATCAAAATTTAATGAGAAACAAACTTACCAACATTTTTTACAAAAAGCCATTTTACTAATTTATGTCATTAATTACAAAAAAAAATAGCTCTCCTATGACTAATATGGTGCATGTCTTCAGGCAGGGTGTAAATTAAGTACACTCCCTCAGACAGATGCAGCAACTGAAGATGTGACAAGTTGTTCTGAAAAAGGCTGAGGGAGTACATGGGTACTACAGGGACATCCGCTGTGCCTGCACTCGGGAGGGTCAGAGCCTCACCCACCCCCAAAACCATTCACTTATTGAACCACTCTGCTCTGAAGTTTTAGGCTTCCAATTGTTTTCTAGATAGATGCTTCACTCAGAGTTGGTCTTCCACAAAGCTAAGTAAATCTACCTCGTTAAGACCTTATACTTGTGTAGAAAGAAAAAAAAATCTGAGTTCAATTTTGTGAAGTCCAGCTTTGACACTTATTAGCTATGTTATCTCAGGCAAGTTACCCAACCTTCTTGAGCCTATTTTTTCTTTAACAGTGAAAGCCTAATAAAAATAACAAAACATCACCACTATCTGTATCATTGAACAGCTGCAAAATGAGAACATCATATTTGTGAAAAAAAGCTTTTAAAACTGTAAAATGTGCAAATGTTAGTATTTTCATTACCTTTCCTTTTCCTGAACCAGAATGACTCAGAGTAATAAAACAAATGGTAGTGCAATGTCCAAAGCTTTCTTTCAATGTCCATTCCCATCCTTTCATCTCCTAAGACTGGATGCAGAAAAATAAAACCTTACTTTGGAAACAAATGCTTTTACATATTAAGTACAAAACAGAATTTTAAAAAAAAATGTTTGTTTTGTTTTGTGGTGCTATACCCATATCAAGGTTCAAGTGATCTCAATAATTGTAAGGCTTGACTGCAAATCAAGAAAACAACGTTCTGGTTCTATTCTTCATTTTGCTATTTTCTTCTTATGTTACATGGGAAACCACAAATTCTCATCTGGGCCTCAATTTCTTTATTTTGTTTTTCGAAAGTCTGGAAAATAACTTTTACAAAAGGGTATAATTTAGAGATGAGATAATGTTTATATAAAATAGCTTTAGTTCCCTGCGGATTGTCAAATCTCTTCTGTTTCTCATTTCCATGTACATTCATACTTCCAAAATGCTTTCAAGTTCTCCATCTAATTTTCCTTCTCTAGCCCTTCTACTTTATTTAGGCAGAATAACCTAACCATTTCAATACTCTATATGTTTTAATATTGTTTTTTAAAATCATATTCAGCTTTTTCTTCAATTGCTACCTGAAACTCCTACCACTCTCCACCCTACCCTGGAAGGGTGTTCAATACTGCTCCTTATTCCTAGATCAAAAGACCAACTTACAGAATCCTCCAGTACCAAAGCCGGTACACCAAAGTCACCATCAATGAGTAAAAACTTTTATAGCATCAATATATGGCCAAATGCACATATTTCACATGGCATTTTAAGATATCTGATTGCAAATATTCAAAAACATTTTCAATAACAGAAAGTATGTTGCCCTCCCATCCATCTCAGGAGAACTGTGTATCAGAAGAATCTCAGAAATATCTTGTGTATCCTTCCAGAGAATCTAAGTCTATACAAGCATAAAAATGCTTATGCCTATTTGTTTTTACACAATTGTTGCATACTATGTATAATAAATAATGTTTTTCAGTTAATATATCCAGGAGATTGTTATATAATAAGGTAAAAGTACATCTACTGTATTCTATTTACAGACTGAACAGTATTTCCTTATATAGATATATATCTAAATCATTCACATATTGTATGATTCTATTTATATGAAATGTCCAGAAAAGGCATATCCATAGAGACAGGAATGTAGAATAGTGATTGCCAGGGCCTGGAGGAGAAATGAAGAGTGACTACTAATGATAAGAGATTTCTTCTGCGGGTGATAAAAATGTTCTGGAATTAGATAGTCATGATGGTTACACAACTTTGTAACTACACTAAAATCTGCTGAATCGTACACTTTAATGAATGAATTTTATGGTATGTAAATAATAGCTCAATTTTTAAAAAAATTTAAGGATAAAACTTTACTATTAAAATAATAGCTTCACAATAATGCTCCTTACCACCTCAATAAGTCAGTTTGTTTCATCCATTTATTCACCCCTGCATTCATTCATCTAACTAGCAGATTCTGACCACTTACTATGTTCTAAGTAGCATTGTTCTAAGTCCTGGTCAGTTCACAGCACTGAAAAAGAGAGATAAGATCCCTACTCTCATGGTGGAGAGAGGAGGCAAAAGAGAAAATAAACCAATAAAAACTATTGAGTGCTAAGTGCTATGATGAAAATAACAGAATGATGTGACAAATAATGTGATGTGACAAAGCATTAAGATTAGGCAGAGAAATCCTACCCAAGGCTAGAAAGCCGAGAAGTAGCAAGCTATATGAAGATCTAGAGAAGAACATTCCAGATTTATAGGATAATCTAGTATTAAAGCGAGTTTTGTAGGAGTAGGGGTATAAGAAGAAATCAGAAAGGCTGGTAAAACCACACTAGCTAAGATTTAAGAGGCCAAAGTATGGAACTGAGATTATCATAGTATAAATGAGAAGCCATTGAAAATCTTTTTAAAAACCAGAAGTAGTAACATGATTTAATATTTTTAAAAAAGATAAGTCTAGTTGCCATGCAGAGAATAGACTGGGTGGATGGCAAATGAGAAGCAGAGAAGCCAGTCAGGAAACTACTACAGAGAAAAGAGAATGATAGCTTGGAGTAGTGAAGACAGAATCCAATATTTTTTTGTAGGTAGTATCAGCAGGGCTCGCTACTGAATTTCATGATTTGTGGAGAGTGGTGAAGAAGACAGAATCGGGGACAACTCCTAGGTTTTTAGTCTCAAGTAGGTAGAAAACGGGCCCTTTACTGAGATAGGTTTGGGGAGTTTGGTTTTGAATATATTAAATTGAGATACCTAACAGATATCCAAATGGATATCTTAGGTAGGCAGTTGTATACACAAGTCTCAGGCTCAGAGGAAAGATCAGGCTGAAAGTAACTAATTTAGCATCCTCACTGGTTAGCACTGTGCCAAAGGGTGTACTAGTATATTATTAAAGTGAGTATTTCATAAGCTATGAGAAGTCCTATAGTAAAGAAAATTGTTTATGGCTTAGCTCAGCGTTTCCAAAACATCTTTAGTTGTGGAAACTTTTCCTCCACATTTTAACATCCTGCTCTTTAACACATATCAGAGAATACTGCTCTAACACATCAAATTGCTAAATGGGTTGCCTTTCAATTTATAGTATGTTCATAACACCTCAACTTTATAAAGTGTGACTCAGTGACTTCAAACAAGAACAGGGAGGGTCAACATATAGATTTAGTCAATTCACTACTTCTTTAATGCCCCATAACATTTTATAATCTAATCCTTAGGAAATACTAAAGTACTTCACACATAAAGGCCAATTAGTTTCTACATCTGTGAAGTTATCTGAGGCATTACCTCGGCTATAGATGAAGACACTAAAGTTTAATCACTCACCTCCAATCACCCTCGGAGCTTTTGAGTCATATGTAGGCTGCAGTTCCCTTTGTCTAGCACTAAATTCATTATTCCAGTCAGTAACTAGGTACTGAAGCCACAGGAGATTTTAGGAAGTGCCTAGAGTTGAACGTCTAGGTGATTTCTATGCGATAGCAGTAATTCCATTTCAGAATCCTATACAATGTGTGGACTATTAAAAAAAAAACAAAACTTGCACATGCTGAGCTCAGAATGAGCATGAGCTTAACAATTAAATTGGCAATAATTTCAAATATACTGGTATTTCAACCAAGAAATATCTAGGGAGTTTAAATCTTATTTCTTTCATAACAAAAAATTTTCCTAACCTTCCATGAAAAACTCCATCCTCTCATGTCTCATTGTAGTTTAAAGCACCTGTTAACATTTTACTTATGTGTTTGTTCTCTTTTAGATATCACTTTAAAATAAGAGGCTGTATCCTTTTCATTTCTGTAATTCCACTGCCTAATATGATGGCTGGCATACAGTAAAGGGTACAGGATTTGTTGTAAAGACCCAGTTTCAGATTCCGTCTTTGTAACTTACTAGCTATGAAATCCTGGACAAATTATATAACTTCTCTAAGCTTACAATTGAAAAATTAGAGATATCACCAATTTTGCAGGACGATTATGACAATTAAACGAATACATTTAAAGCACTTTAGTTCTGAGGTAGCTGTCACACAACAAACTTGCAATATATGAAACAATAGCTTAAAAATGTTCAATGAATGAATGACTATACAAATAAATGACTATACACATGTGCACTTTTACATGCATACATATGAGTACAAATAAAATACCAGTCCTCACTTTACTCCCGTCTTAGTCCATTTAGGCTGCTATAACAAAAATATCACAGACTGGGTGGCTTATAAACAACAGAAATTTATTTCTCACAGGTTGGGGAGCTAGAAGTCCAAGATCAGGGTATCAGCATTATTGGGTCTCCTTCCAGGCTGCCGAATGCCCACTTCTCACTACATCCTCATATGATGGAAGGGGCTATGAAACTCTGTGGGATTTTTTTTAATAAGGACACTAACTCCAATCATGAGGGCAGAGCCCTTATCACCCAACCACGTCCCAAAGGCCCCACCTCCTAATACCATTACATTGGGCATTAGGATTTCAACATAGATTTGGGAGGAAACATTAAGACCACAGCAATCCTCCTGCCACAATTCTACTAATCCATAAAAGGGTCAGCTTAAAACATTACCTTCTCATGCTTATTTGTTTACATTTTCTTTCTCTCTCTCTCACTAAATTGTAAGTTACTCAAGAATATGGATCGTGTCTTGGTCATCCTAGTACCTAACACAGAACCTGGAACATGACAGATACCTAATAAGTGTTTACTATCTTAGGTAACAATATTGAAAGAGAAGAAAATTCTTGTTCTAATTGCAAAGAACAGTTATTCTCAATATTAAAGGAAGGAATTAATCCATCATCTTTATTTGGTGCAACAAATCTAAAAGATTTTAACTGCAGCATGAGAAGTAACAGATGAACTGGAAATATTTCCTAGCCCTGACACCAAAATTTCATTTTCAATCTTAGGTCCTGTCCTACTTAAACCTTAACTAAAAAGCAGGTCAAAGAAGACATCTCAGCAATTCTAAGCAAGCCTACTCCTCCCATTATGGAAAAGGAGAGAAAGAAAAGAGGTAGCTTTTATATTTTTAATAACTAAATAGGTTGCAGTTTCCTCCCACAATTTAAAGTAATTTAACCATACTTTAAAAACTAACATGCACTTCTTTGTTTTAATAGGATTCCTTTCTTTTTCTTTCTTTTTTTTTTTGAAAGTAAAAGAGCAGAATTTTCCTTGGCATTTAATTCAAAACCACAGCCCATTTTAAAGGGTACAATAAAAGATCACGTCTGAAGCCTTGGCAATAATGGAACAATCTTTACATCAGATACAGATCTCAACACTAGGGCAAAGATTCACCTATGATTCCTATAGTCCATTATTTGTCTGTAAACATGAAGCAGCAACACAATAGGCATGTAACGCAATCAGTGACATAGCAGTTTTGTAGTCTAAATGCTTTGAAATTAAATTCTTATAATAAAGCAAGCCTGACTAACACAGAGTTAAAATCAGATGCAGACTACTCCTCTTTACCTCATACACCTTTAACTAACTTCCTTTTTTCA